TGACACAGAGTTCTCTAAGTTCCTCTCTCAGGTCACCTCTAGTGGCAGATTTTGCACACATTGGTGGGTCCTTGGCACATCCTGACTTACCCCACCTCCTGTTCTAGCAGGACCAACAACCTTGCTTGGCCAGCCCACACCAATTCCAGCTCTTACTATTGGCTGCTACATCCCAGTCATGCCTGGTTGACTCCCAGACCCAGCTCTTGCATGGTTCAGCAGGTGCTGGGACCTAGTCCAGCCTGACCTACACCTACCCTGGCTCTCACAAGCACATATCTGAGACCCATTCCACACCCATACTGAGGTATGGTGTGTCCAAATATGTTCAGCCCAGTTCACTACCTGCATTCCAGCTCTTGCGCTCACCAGTGGGAATTACAACCCACCTGGGGGCATCCCCTTAGCTCCCTGACCAAGCCTCCTCCTAGTCACGTATCTTTTGTGTGCCAGTGGTTGCTCTGACCCATCCTGTCACACCCCATTCCCCATCTTGGCCTTTGCCATCAGATGTTGCAGCCTGGCCACTCCTGGCCTGCCCTCAGTCCCAAGTCTCACTGGTGGTGGGTCCTGCAGCCTAGCCCTGCTCAGTTGCCCCCATCCCTGGCTTACATGTAAACCGGTAGATGTGATAGCCTAACTCAGCATGGCTCATGCTGCATCCTAGCTCCTGCACATGCCAGTGTTTTAAGGTTTTCCCTGACCTGCTTGGTCTGCCTCCACCAGAACCAACCGACACACTTGCTGACAAGGGGAGCTGCCCTGCCTGGCCTGACCAACACCCAGTTCTGAATCACATGCTCACCAATGGGAGCTATGACTCACCAGTGGAGTTCCCTAAGTTCTCCCACCAGGCACACTCCCAGAGTCAGATCTTACATGTGCCAGTGGATGCTAGGCCTTTACCTGGCACAGTCTGCTCCTTCTGTCTTGGCCTTTGTGTGTGCTAGTGGATGTTGAAGCCCAACTTGCCTCACACCCTATTCTTGGGTGTGCCTGTGGGTGCTGGTTGCTGCAGCCTGTACCAGCCTAGCCTGTTCCCAACCCCAGTTCCCATGAGTGTCTTGGGGTTCTATGGTCATGCCCAGCTCGGGCCATCACCACTTCCTGCTCTTGAGCATATTGTAGTTCCACAAGGGTAAGCCCACATATCCTTCACAGAATCTGCCCCCAGATCTGGTTCTTTCATGTGCTGGTTAGTGCCATGACCCAACCTAACATTATCTGTCCCCTGTCCTGATACTCATTGGTAGGTACTCTGACCTGGGCCAGGCCTACAGCTCGGGTCTCCCTCATGGGCGGGTGCATAGATCTCATCCAGAAAGGTCCTACAGTTTCTTTCCTCCAAACTGCTCTGTCTTAGGTCTCATTGATTACCTGCAAGTACTGTGGCCTTGTCAGTGGAAGTCTCCCAGATGTCATTCCTCATTTGCAACATACTCCTTCAGTGGGCCTCCCTCCCATATGTCACTTCCATACCCCTTCACTGAGCAATCCACAGTCTCTGTGCCCGAGAGCACATGGGTTCCCTAGCCCTATTTTTCCAAGCTCAGTCTTCTGGCTGACATGCATGTTAGCCTGGAGCTCTGCCTGCCTACCAGGGACCCATCTAGGGTTCCCAGACCTAGTCCTGTGGCACACATGCTGACCTAGGACCCTACCCTACCATCCACCCAAGATCCAAGCATGTACACAGATCCCCAAGCCTGGTCCACCACCACACCATGCCAGCATGCTAACCTGGATCTCTCCCCTCCCCTCCGCTTCCCTGCCAGTATCAAGCATTTGCAGAAATCCCCAGGCTTACTCTGCCTGTCTGGGAGCCATTCCCCAAGCCTGCATCCCCCAGGCTCTCATGAGTCCGGCCGCTCTGGAGGAATTCAGGTGCTCTCACTGGCCACCAATGTCTTGTGTAGTCTTCTGGACATAGGGTATGCCTATTCAAGTATAAGTGTAAGTGTGTGTGTGTGTGTGTGTTTGTTCACTCCCAGTACCTCTTGACTCAGATGGTAGCACATTATACAAACAGTTCTGTATCTTATTTTTCTTTCTTTTAAATTTTATCTATTTTTATTGGAAAGGCAGATATACAGAGTGGAAGCAAGATTGAAAGATCTTCCATTCACTGAGTCCTTCCCCAAATGGCTGCTATGGCCAAAGCTGAGCCAATCTGAAACCAGCAACCAGGAGATTCTTATAGGTCTCCCTCGTGGGTGTGGGGCCCCAAGGCTTTGGGCCATCCTCTACTGCTTTCTCAGGCTATAATCAGGTGGAGCAGCCAGGACATGAATCAGTGCCTACATCGCATGGAGGCATTGGCAGGCAGAGAATTAGTCAGTTGAACCATTGCATTGGCCTCTTACATCTTACCTTTCATACCTAAAAATCTCTTTTTCTCCAGTTTTGTTCTAATGAAATACCCTACTTCCTGCTTGAGTCAATTTTCATAGATTTGTACATTATATTGTCCTGAAAGAAGCCCATGCATTTCACCATAACTATTTACTTAAATATGAATCACCCCCTCACCATTTACAAAGTTCCTAAGCAACTTTCAGCAAGTTACCCAAGCCCTGCTATGCTGCAAATATCCATAGCTTCCAAGAATAATGAATGTAAACATTCCTATTTTAGGAGCTTATCCATTTACCACCCATTTCTTTGCCAACCTTGCTTTTCAATCAATCTTCTTTCCTTCAAAGAATATTATCTCACATTAAGCCAATATCTTAACAATTGAGGAAAGCAGACTTTGATGCTCTGAAACAAAACTTAGGAAGCTAAACACTGGGTCAGCATGTGTTTTTATGGTCTGGCTTCCTCTTTCTGTTTCCATTCTAAAGCACACACACCTGTTGTCACACTTCTAAGTGAAAATGTAACTTTAAAAAATATATTTATGGGCCCGGCGCGGTGGCGCAGTGGTTAAGGTCCTCGCCTTTCCAATAAAAAAATAATAAAAATAAATCTTTACAAAATATATATATTTATTTATTTAAGAGAGAGTGAGAGAGAGAGAGAAAAGAGAGTGTGTGTGAGAGAGAGAGAGAGAGAGAAATATCTTGCATCCAGTGGTTCATTATCCAAACGTTGCTGCAACAGCCAGGGTTGGGCCAGACCCAAGACAGGAATTATGAACTCCATTTTTTAAAAGATTGATTTATTTTTATTGCAAAGTCAGATATATAGAGAGGAGGAGAGACAGAGAGGAAGATCTTCCGTCTGATGATTCACTCCCCAAGTGACTATAATGGCCAGGAGCCAGGGTGCAGGGTCACAAGACTTTGGGCTGCCCTCGATTGCTTTCCCAGGCCACAAATAGGGCTCTTGATGGAAAGTGGGGCCGCCAGGATTAGAACCAGCGCCCATATGGGATCCCAGCGTGTTCAAGGCGAGGACTTTAACCGCTAGGCCAAGCCGCCGGGCCCCTGAACTCCATCTTGACCTCCCACATGGGTTGCAGGGATCCAAGTACTTGGAACATCTACTGTCTTCCAATAGGACCATTTGTAGGGAGATGTTTGATAAGTGGAATGTACGGGACTCGAACTGGTACGCTCATGTGCAATGCAGGTGACTGTACAATAACCCTGAATCTGCCCACATTGCTGTTAAACCCACAAACATTTAGACCATCTTGAAATGAGTTGGTGAAGAGCAGAAGTGATGAGACTGGGAGCTTGTGGTTAGGGAGCGATAATTCATTTTGGATGTTGGCACGGAAAGGAAATAGTAGAGGTTAACAATAGCCTCAGAGAAGTGAGAAGGGACTTGGTGACCCGATAAGAATTGTCGGGAACACAAGAATGAGGGGGGTCGGGTGTGAGACAGCGCAGGCTGGAGTTGGGGCAGTTGCCCATCTCCTTTAATAACAACTTTTAAAGGTTTCACCATCTGCTGGTCTGAATTTTAGCTTTATTTCCATCCGCATTTACCTAAGTTTTAGAAATATGTTTGATCTAGAGAATTGTTGCAATACTCGCATTTAAAACGACAGCTCTCTCCCTCAAAAAAAAAAAGTTCCATTCATTGGGAATTTTGTCCCTTAACATACTCTCTTTTGCGCCTTATACTTATTTACTATTCGAGTGCTTTCCATCATGGACCATCCAAATACATAAAGTATTTGATTTCAACCCCGTCCTCTACCCTGGTGAATGGGGGAAACTGACAGCTTCACATGCCAGAGGGCAGGAGCAGGTGGCCTGCACAGTGCTTGAGTCAACAATGGCGCTTGTGACCAAACCTCACTTAGCCTGGGGCCGGGGCAAGCGGGAGTCAGAAACACCTGGAAGAGGGCAAGATGAAGTAAGGCGGAGAGAGTCTCGTATATGTTAGGGTCTCTTTCTCCCTCTCCGTTTCTTTCGTGATTTTCACCATAGCTATTCTCTTTTAAACCGCATTTACAGCATCTGCCTCAAGTCGCTCAGCAACTTTAGGCAGTAGGGTTAAGAAGGTTGGCTAGTGAACCATCCAATAAGGGGTTAAGGGAGAAAAGTCACTCCAGAGGGGGCGGTGTGGAGACGGTGTAGAGCTTTGTAAAAGTCTAAAGCGGGAGGCGGTTTGCTTAAGGGAATGGGAAGTGAAGGGAAGCAGCGGGGACGAATGCGGGGAGGACTGGCTCTCTGTTCTGAGGTCGGGAGAGAAGTTGCGGGGTAGACATTGGAGGGAGGCGCCAGGCTGTTGCTAAATAAGCGCCGCGCTAGGCGGGGCGGGCCCTTGGAGCCGACTCCCGGGTGCGGGAGACGGGTGCGTGGGATCTGCCAGGGAGAAACGGAAGCCGCGGTCTGTATGAGACGACGACGGGGCGATCTGAGGAGTGTTCAAACAGGAAGCATGCCTAGCTGGATCCGGGGGCCCGGAGACGCCAGACGACGGAGAACGCTCCGCCACTAGCTAACTACCAGGGACAGCATAGGGGCGGCCGCCGGCTGTCTGCAGGCGCCAGCCAGTGACGCGGCCGCAACGCTCTGACGCGCTGACCGGCCGCGCCCCTCCACGTTTCAGGTTCCGCAAAGAGCTGTGGGTACGACCCCGGAGAAGGAGGCCCAAGATGGCGGAAGCGGCGCAGTCTCCAGGAGACCCGGGGACATCGCCCAAGCCATTGGTGAGCTTGGGATCTGCAACAAAAGGGACCGAGGGTGAGGCAGAGTGCCCCCCGAGGAAGTCGGGGGACGAGCTTGTGGCCTGAGAGAGCCGGAGCCCCTTTTGCCCGGCAGGCCCTTTCTGTGCCAGAACCAGTCCCAACACTGCACCTGTTTTGCGGGCTAACCCCCTGTCCTTCCTGCCTTCCTCGTCCCTCCCACATCTTTTTTTTTGTGTGTGTGTGTGTGTGTGCAATTCCAGTCTCCTTTTCCGTACTCGCAGAACTCATTCTCACTTCCTACTTTGTGTGAATTGCCGATCCTCAAATGATTTCTTGCCTTTCACTGCCCCCTCATTTGATCAAGACCCGTCCCTAACCCTGGTTGCAGTAGCAGCTTCCTAGCAGTAAGGAGCGCTGACCTCACGTGGGACGTCAGTGTTTTGATTGCGTATGACTTGAGTCTTGCTCAGTGAGCCCAGTGGGCTACGTGGAAACCCTGCCCTCTCCATTGCGGCTCCTTGTCATCCTTTTCACAATTACTTTCTTTGCTTCCTCTTGACTCTACAGGGGCTAGGGCTTCTGTTCCACGCACAAGGCGAAAACGCAGACACAGGCATTGGACTTAAACTTAACCAGGGTGGAAATCCACCCACTCTGCTATTTGTGTGCACTGGGGCAAGCCGTTTTGTGGAGTTTTTTTTTTTTTAAGATATAAAATGGAGATAAAAAAATCACACGTCTCAGAGCTTTTAGGAAGATGAAATGACATAATTAGATCTGATGCAATCACTACTGAGGAGTGTAATTAACATTCTGCCCATGTCTCTCCTTTCCAAGTGTTTAGGTATATAGTAGTTGCTCAATAAATGCAACTTCCTTTTCTTGTTTTAAATTGGCAGCTTTACATAGTAGAGAACTAAACTGGAAATCAAGTGAACTGAATTCTTGTTCTAGCTGTTCATTTGTTCATTTTTTTTTTCATGCCTTCAACAAATATTTATTGAACCATCCTTTGTCTTCTAGTACCCTTGGAAACGCTGAGGGTGATGCAAGAGAGTAAGTTGAGCTCAGCTCTCAACAGTTGTGATCTTGAATAAAATTACGTTGAGTCTTCGTTTCCTCAATTGGAAAAGGATGACAGAAGTTCATCACAGGACTAGGGAACGGATTAAATGAGTTCATATACCTGTAGTTCCTACCATGACATAATTACAGGCACCTAGCAATTTCAGTTTCTATCTTTGGTCTAAACTGCCCCACCCCTCTTCTGTACCTTTAATTCACTTTAGTGGTTCTGGTCCCTCATTACTCAGTATTCAGCCCATCTCCACTCAACAGATGTTTATTAACACTCACATGTGTAATGCGCTGTGCCAGCTGCTGTGGGAAATACAAAGGATCCATGCCTGTGGTGCTGATTTGAAGGGACAAGACAAATATACAGTGCTAAAATAGGGCCATTTTTAATAGAGCAGATTACACAAAAATGTTAGGAAAATGCAGAAGGTGCTGTTACATCCAGTTGGTTACCAAGCAAGCTACATGATAGGGGTTTTCTTTGAGAAGACCTTAAATGATGGATAGGGTTGGAAATTCCAGTCACTATTTGAGTACATGCAGTGTGTCAGCCATTGTGCTAGACAACCCCTGCTATGTTCTAAATGTCACAACAGTTGTTTCAGTTAGGTGGCTAATTGCATTTTGCTTAACAGATGAGGAAGTGAGATGCTGAAGGGTTTGGTAATTTCCCTATGGTTTATATCCAGTCAAGCCTGGACTGAAATTTGAACCTAGGTCTGATTCTGAAACACCTTTTTTTTTTTCTTCCTGTGTGTGCTGCACAGTCTCTCTTGGACAGAAGCCGGAAGGTGCTAATGTGTTTGTAGAGCAACATCCAGTAAAATTTGAACAAGGGATAAGTCACTGTGGCTAAGGCATGGTTAGGAATTCTTAGGAGATAAACATTAGGAGTCAGTATGGAAGCATGGTTAGGAATGTGTGTTCCAGAATCCAGTTGCCTAGATTTGAGTTTAAACACTTTTGCTTAACCAGCAGGATAGTGGAAAAATGACCAAATCCTTTCATGCCTCAGTTTCCCCACCTGTGAAATCGAAATACAATACTTGATTCATAGTTGTTTGGTGAATTACACGCGTTAAGAAGCTTAATAGAGTACCTGATACATAATGGTCATAGAGTAACAGAATAATTCTTATTGAACATTATAATTATTGTAATCCTATAATACATAACATACCATAGTTCTTATTAACTACGAAGCTGACAGGTTTAACAGCTTCTGAGGAGCTGATGGAAATGTTTGAGGAGGGAAGGATTTAAAATAGTGAATTTGACAACAGTGGAGAGTGTTTGGAATCTGAAGACCCAGTGAAGCTATTGCAGTTCCGGAAGTGATCAGCACCTGGACTGAAGCAATGGTGAGACACAAAGGAGAGTCAAGGAGGACTCTGTGAGGGTTGAGTGTGTCTTAGATAAGTGTGTTCCAAGTTTAACATGCATAGCATTCATCTGAGACATCTTGTTCAATTATAGATTTTGATATAATAGGTCTGGAATCGAAGCCTGAGATTCTGTGTTTCTTTTTTTAAATTTATTCATTTTATTACAAAGTCAGATATGCAGAGAGGAGGAGAGACAGAGAGGAAGATCTTCCTACTGATGATTCACTCCCCAAGTGAGCACAACAGCCGATACTATGCCGATGCGAAGCCGGGAATCAGGAACCTCTTCTGGGTCTCCCACACGGGTGCAGGGTCCCAAGACTTTGTGTCGTCCTCCATTGCTTTCCCAGGCCACAAGCAGGGAGCTGGATGGGAAGTGGGCTGCTGGGATTAGAACCAGCACCCCTATGGGATCCTGGCGCGTTCAAGGTGAGGACTTTAGCCGCTAGGCCACACTGCTGGGCCCAAGAGATTCTGTGTTTCTAAACCAAGCTCCCTTGTGATGCTGCTGTAGCACTGCAGTCGGAAAAGCCAAGTTGTAGACTCCTGAGGCAACCAGCAGGCATGCCCTGAGCAACAGCAGATAGCATCCAAGAAGGCTTAGCTGGTTGAGGGCTCTAAAAGTTTGATGACCTCAGCTTGCCACATGTTTAGGTTGAGATTTTTATAGGCCTGTCAAAAGATGCCCAATGGGTAATCAAACTTAGCAGCCTGGACATCAGGGCTTGGAAGAGGTGAGAACTAGACACTGATGTGGGAGTTCCCTCCACAGGTATGAAAGCATCTTGGATCACACCTGTCTGTGGCTGGGGGGCAGGAAGGAGAATTCTCATGTACACATTCTGTAAGTGTACAAAAGCTTACCTGCATATGGGAACTAGGAGAATGTAGTCCAAACTTCCTCTTCCACTGAGGGCTGTTCAGAGAGCAGGTTCCATTAGCTGAGGGCCTGGGAGTCTGGTCCGTTAGACAAGTGGGTCTTCCCTAAATGGAGGCTCAGCCCGTGGAACAGTGCTACTAGTTGTATTCAGAAGAGATGTTCAAGAAGGGTTGAGATGAGGTCTGGGGTGGGAAAGTACATGACATCTTAGTGACTGCAATGATTTCTGAGACCAGTTACCTAATCAGTCTTCACAGGGTGAGGGCACAGTGGCCTACAAGGCTACTCTGACTTCAGACATCAGCTGCAAGTTTGAGAATTACTACAACAACCCTCACATCTGGCCAGCTGCCTACCAAGTCAGGGGCTCCCCAGATTTCTGGTCCCACAGTTCACTAGATTGGCTGGCAGACTCAGGAGGGCACTGTACTCAAGAGTTTTGTTCCAATCAAAAGATAACTAATCCAAACGAGAAGAAAGGAATGATGCAGAGACTAGGAAGGTCAGAGCAAGTCCCCAAACCAACGTGGCCTGATTTCTCCTTGTGGAGTCATGATGCATTACCTTCCTGGTCTGTCGGTGTGACAGTACGCAGCGTGTGCTAGCCAGGAAAGCTTACTCAGTGTCTAGATGTTCTTATTGGGGATTCATTATGTAGGCATGATTGTTTGGATCAGTAACCACATAATGAACCAATTTCCACTTCCCTCTTCCAAATTTGGGATTATAGCTTGTAACTTAAAGCTCCAACTTTCTTTTCTTTTTTTTTTTAAGGTTTATTTTGTTATTTATTTGAAAGAGTGAGAGAGGGAAAGGCAGCTTTTTCGTTCACTGGTTCAATCCCCACATGGCTACAACAGCCAGGTTGAAGCCATGAGCCAGGAACTCTATCCTGGTTTCCCACAAGTGGCACACAAGTACTTGGGCTGTGCCTTCCCAGGCACATGAACAGGATTGATTGGAAGCCAAGTACCTGGGACTTAAACCAGCACTGTGATGAGGGATGCTGTCTTTGTGTCAGCTTAACCTGCTGCTCCATAATGCTGACCCCAGAACCCCCACTTTCCAATCCTATTTGTCCTCTCTGATGTGTTCAACTCTTGTCCTGAGCTGTCTCAGTATAAACTATCTGGGTCTACTTTGACTAACCTGTTAGTGTAAACGATCAGCCCACCATAAATAACACAACATACTTTGTCATTCATGACGTTTTGGAGCTAAGAGGTTCCCACCAGGGGAAATAGACACGGAACAGCCAGGAGGCAGCATTGTGTATAGCAGGTTAAGCCATTGCCTGTGACCCTGGCATCCAGTGTCAGAATGCCAGTTGCAGTTCTGGTTGCTCTGTTTCTAACCCAGCATCTTGCTAATGTGCCTGGGAAAGCAATAAAATAGTTCATGTGCTTGGGGCCCTACTATCCACACATGGGAGGCCTAGATGGATTTCCAGGCATCTGGCTTTGGCTTGGTCCAGCCCTGGGTGTTGCAACCTCTTTTTCTTTTTGGTGTGTGTGTGGTGGGGGGTTCTTCTGAATCAGCCACATGGGTGCGGGGACCCAAACTCTTGTACCATCTTCTGCTGCTATCCTAAGTGCATTACCAGGGAGCTGGATTGGAAGTGGAGCAGCCAACACTTGAACTGCAGCTAATATGGGGTACAGGCACTGCAGGTGGTGGCC